TGGAGAGAGGGTCCCCGTTATACATCACCTGTGGCAAACAGCGTACGTTCATTTATAAGTCACAGAGGTCCGCTTTTCCAACACAAGCCAGCAACGCAGACCGTGGGCCGTGACGTCATACCACAATCCTTTGCGGGCTCCTCCTTACGGTCAGTTTTGAAACGAACGCATCGCGACCGCGCCTACTTTTTTTTAACATATAGCTGTATACTCCTGTCGCCACAACTGGGGAATCAAGTGCTGGGGCAACGCGCTATTCGCAAGAGGCGGTGTGAATGGGTCCCGCTGTAAAAAAGACGTGATAAACGCATCGGAAATGGTGAACGGGACGGGCGTATGGGCGTCAAGCAGATGGTATTGCCACCATCGAGTACGTCAGGGAATTCTTGTCTTATTGATTTATATTTATTGGTTTGAATGGAATGCTCTGTGGGTACATTATAAGTATATACTTGTGTCTGAACCATTTGAGTCAGAAACGTATTACGAGTTTATTACAATATTCCTTAAGTAAATCAATTCCCCGTTATAAGCCGTTTCGCTACAGGGTGCATTAAGAACGTCACCTGGATTAAAAACGGGGCAGTCAACATACTGGGGCATTGGTTTGGAAATCTGGTCAAGAGGAAAGAGCGCCCCCTGATGCCCCACCAACACCATGTGCAGCAGCAACCTGCATAAAGAATCCCATTAGAAAAGCATCACCCCCAAAACACACTGTCCGCAGCCGACTTTATCATCTCATACTGGGTGACTTCCATGTACTTGACGAGGCCCAACCTCGCTGGCCTTCTGAGATCTAACAAGAACCGCTCTGAGTATCACGAATTCGAGCGGGGAGCTGCGTCAGCAGGCGCAGGCTGCAGAGGAACAAGTCATAGGTGTATTCCCTGCTGCAAAGAGAAGAGAACAAACAGGACGTTTCGGCCGTGCAGCCTTCTTCAGGTGTGCCTGAAGGTGTGTCAGGTGTCACACACCTGAAGGAGGCTCCACGGCCGAAAAGTTGTTTCTTCTTTTCTCTTTTCACCGGGGAAAACACCTTGATTCACGAATTCGCCATGTGCGATCTTTGCAAATGAAGCAGGACTATACCTCAGTTTTGGAGGGGAAGCCTCATCATAATTTAGCAGATCGCTGTGCACTTTACGCAGCTCAGAGCTGCTACTGTAGCTATTTAGCAGCCGGGAGTCATTCGGAATTCGGAAATGGCTGGTACTCGACCCTTCTCTTATTTCCCTTGCTAATTAATCCAGTTCGTTTCTGCTATCACTTCAGGCCTCGCTTTGTTTTTTAGTCGTTAAACTCGCCTATAGAGGCAGCGCTGGGAAACTAGGAGAAAGTAGGCGACAATCCAGATTGACACAACTAAATCCGACACCGGGACCCACAGAGAGGGCTCCTCTGTGAAAAACAAATACTGTCCAGCGGACACGAGGCATACTTGCATAAGAACAAAGAATTACGCGATAAAAGCCTGTGTCTATATCGTAGTCTTTATTTTTTAGCAGTAAATACGAGCCCCGAGTACAGAAGATCTTATAAAATATCATTTTCAAGCCCTAAACAGCCGTATTTCTGTTTAGTGGGCATTTTGAATATTTTTCTTCATGTTTTTTTTTATTTTAACCCTGAACCTCGGGAGTTATAAAGTATCGAGTTTGTTGCCATGCATTAATGTTACCCTATTTGCTTGTTCAGAATTCGCGCTGGGACAGGATTTTCATTTCCCGTATCCGCATGTGAAAAGTAAACCGCATAGCGCAGTCTAGTGATGCACAGGAATCCTTACTTCAGACACGCCACCTCCGGGATAAACGTTTATTCCGAAGAATCAACTGCCGGTTGTTATTCCCGAAGAGAAAGGGTTGAATATCGTTTTAATGAAAAACGATGTCTTTATTACGGGTATTTTTATTTTTATTTATTTTTTGGCGATTTAAAATGGTAGGCTCGGGTTATCTCTCTTTGTAGATCGCGTGTATGTGCCGGTGGGGAGCCCGTTTCCAGAATTTCATGCCTTCACATCTGACATGTAATTGGGCAATTAAACCTGGTATGCATGCAGGGCACACTCGCTCGCCCTTGATCTGTATTGGCGCTCGCTGCACACACACCCACGGAGAATGCAAACAGCAATAAATTAGCGCGCCCATCAGCGAGGCAGATCAGATGGGACGATTTGTAGCGGGAAGATTGATGTCCGCCTGGAAGTTAGAAACTGCCACCCGCCGGCGCTTCAGAGACCCAGGCAAAAACCATTACAATCAACTTATCCCATTTACTGATCAAGATAATGGTGGAATTAGAAAAATAAAGACTGTTAAGCCCGCTCCCTGGAGACCAGTCTTTTGTATCCCCCAGCGCAGATACCGCCCTCACATCTCCGGGGGGGGGGAGAGAGAGACCGTACTATTTAATGCGATATTTTTGCTGTCAAGTGCCATAAAGCGTGTTTAGATACATGGGAATTTAATTTGCCGGCGAAAACAAGTTTTCTTTGTATGAAACATTTTTGCCTAAGTGTCTGCACATGTTAGCGAGGCGGAACAAAGCGGCCTCGGTGCGCAGACCGTCTGACTGACAGGAGCAGTTTTCAGCCTCCGCCTGAGACATAAACACCACCTTGTGATTGCTGATGCAGTTTAGCAGAGAAGACCCGGTCCCTTCTCCCCAGCGTCTCTTCAGCTGTTCTGCTCCCCCAGATCCTATCTCTTTGATGAAAACTGTCAGGATTTCCTGTGTATATGGTTCACATAGTAGAGGAGAAATTCCCATGAATTATATTCGGAGTGTGTGTGTGTTTTAACAGAACGGAACGCACACACACGCAGTAACGAAAGCAGTTTGACATTTTGTCGTGAAACAGATTGCTTTTATTCGTGATTGTTTTTTCTGCCTTGTTTTGTCTACTGCGCTTTTTAATACAAGCAAGATCCAGAGAACCAACTCTGGATCTTAGTAGCTGATCAAACCCAGAAAATCGCATCTAGTATAATCGCCTCTAGTATAAAAACGCCCGTGTGGACTGTTCGCTCAAGACCCCCGCTCCACTCTGTCTGAAGGGGTACTTTTTTCTGTATTCTGTCACTGAGCTTGGAGCAATTTCTTGGAAATGTCGAAACTCTGGGCGGTCACTCTTTAAATTAGCAACCTGGAAGATGTGCGTGACACTTTACAACTATGTGTGGCTGATCAGTGTCTTCTAAATACGGCCCATGTCAGTCCAGCACCGCACTTCAAGCGTGAGGAATCCCAGCCGAAGCTGTAGTTTTAGTGCACGGAGCGTCACAGCTCAGCTCAGCGGAAGCTGCCTCCTTGCCCGTAATCATTATGTAACTGTATATCGGAAGACAACAAGAAGAAAGAAAATTTCCAGGTTTTATTAGCTCCGCCTGTCACTGAGGAGGCGAGAGGCTCTTTCGTTGACGTGGGCGACCCTGTCACTCAAAATCCTAACCTGCAGGAGGACGACGAGAAAGAGCCCTTAAGTTTTGACACAATGCGTCTCTTCATCAAAGTTAAGTCAGTAACAATACACTCCAGTTCATGCCTCTCGCTCAAAGGCCGTACACAGACCCGGACTATTCAATCTGCCTTTTAAAAGTCGAAAAGTATTTCCCCCCTGGCTGTGGATTTAGGATAGCTTTTGTCAAGCACGGCTTTTCTCTAATTACACCAAAACCCCAGCGAGCAGGGCTGGACTGCGTGGTGCGCTGTGTATCCCGAGCTGTCTCAACTCTCTTTCTCCCGGCAGCAGAGTGACAAAGATTCCCGCAAAGCTGATGTAATCTGCTGGCGTGGTGTTACCCTTCTCATTCCACTGAAGATCAGGCCTGACACACCAGGAGACAAGCGCAATCCCCTCTTCCCGCTACTGCACTGTAATTAACTGCTCGAAAAAGCGATAAACCTTTAAGACGCTGGGAGATCCGACCAATTTGCTTTGGCGAAACGCTGCTGGTTTCAAAAAAAGGGTGTGTTTGTGGAATGTTACTGCGGCTTAAGGTAAAAAAAAAACCGCCCAGGCACCATTATTCTTGAGTTGATTTCCTTCAGCGTTGGAATTATACTGTAGGCGGAGGCAGTCCTTGAAAAGGTCCGTGATGTTGCCGAGAGAGGAATGCTCTTTGACTCGCAGTGGTTGGGATTTGTGTGTTTCATTACAGGCACATGGGACAGTGTTCAGATTGGATCTGGCCCCAAGTTTGAATGCATGTACTGTACAATAAAGAGAAGAGAGAAAACACAACGTTTCGGCTGTGAAGCTCTCTTCAGGTGTAGACACAGGAGGAGCTGGAGGACAGCCAGACTGTGCAGGACCGGGCTTGACTGTAGGCAGATCAGTGGCTTTGCCACCCTTGCGTCCAGTGTTGTTGAATACCATCTCGTCCTCCAACAGCTCCTACCGTAAAGCGTCCCCCGTTGCTATACTGGGGCAGGGGGTTGGAAATTCTGGTCCAGAAGGAACAAGCGCCTCCTACAGGTCTACCAGCACAACTTACAGCAGCAGCCTGGTTTGTCTTAGAGGCCTCCCACCCCAGTCCACTTAAGCAACTCACTCCTGACACGTAGTGTCCACATAGTGATTAACTTTATAATCCCTTATTGAGTGTCTGTTTTTTTACAGGGAGTTTATTCTTGATTAAAGGGCTTCAGAATTCGATCCTCAGAAATGTGGAATGGAATTGCTGAATGCCGCTTCAGGCTCATAACTGACTTTTTTTTCTCTTCTGGTTCCTTTCAGAACAATGAAATTTTGGGCTGGTGTGAAAGCCACAGAAGGTGTGCGCAGGTGAGTAAGATCTCCTATGGGTCTGCAGCTTCGATGCAGGGAAGGTTTAATGCTGGTCTGAAAGGGCACAAGTCAGCTCGCGTGACATTGCATCGTACCCTGTGGGCTGGCAGGATGAGTTTCCCGTGCTAGAAGAAGCCTGTGGTGGCGTGTTCTGTAAACGCAGTCTGAGTGCTCGGCTGTAGGTATGGGTGTACTGGACAGAATCCTGAAGACAGGCGGGTCACCTCTCGGTCCAAGAGAGACGACGTCTCTGAGACTCCAGGGATTGAATTAGAGAGGGAGGGGTAATGCGGAATGTCATTCATTTAATCCCCCCCCCCCCCCCCCACCGCCTCCTGAAAGGACAAAACCGGCAAGGTAAACTGGAATCCAGAAGCTTCTGAACCCCCCTGTAAAGCTCATCAAAGGCTGTGCTTTGTGTATCGATGTGGACAAAAGCCCTGTATTCAAAATTAAAAAATAAGCTCTGTAAAATTGCTAAAACTGGTAGCAAAATTTCAGGTGCAGTTTTGTTGTTGGCAGTACTGTATTTCCACTAAACAAAACTCCTAAATTTAGCATTCCTGATTTTATCTGACACTTCATGTACTATATCATCAATGGGGGTATACTGTGGTCACTCATTTACATTAACATGACTGAGGAGGAAGAAAGGTCAGACCTTTTTTATTCCAATAAATTGTGTTCCAGATTCTTTAAAACGAATCTTAGAAATCAAGACTTCCTAAGAATTTGCTCCAGCGTGACGGTGGTGTCTTTGCAGAGTTTCGTAGAATGCAGCTGTGTGTGTCTTGGCACGCTGAAGCTGTTTTGAAACTGTGTTGTTATTTAAGACACCTGTGTTGCAGTGTTGTCTGCTTGTTAGTTCCTTGTCTGCTCCTATCAAAATAAAGCAATGCATGATAATCTGTGCTCCCCACCTCACTAGCAAGGAGACCCCCACATGGAAAGACAAAATATTTCATCCCAACTCTGCCCCTGTATTATCTATTTGACAGCCCACGTCCTGATGACTGATGAAATCGCTCCTACAGGTAGTTCTGCGCTTTTTATTGCAGTTCAGGAAGGAAGCTGTTATTGTTTCCCTTATTAAACACGGACGTTTGGTCATTTAGATTTTGCCCAGCAGTTACTGGCCAGAAGACAATCTCCTACTCAGAAATGCTTACACTTCAGTGTCATGGAAAAGATATCAACAACAATCACGATACAGTATGTGTCCATGAGGTCTGTTATATAAATTGAGCGCATTCCCTTTCAGACTTCAGTTCCACTGGTGGTGGACAGCTCAGGGCCAATATATCGTACCTTATGACATTTTTATGTGGTATGTGAAAATAAGCAGGTTGCCTTTTCATAATTGGTAGTCTTAGACGGTAATAAAGGGAGGAGGTCACCCATCGAGCAGTCTAGAAAATAGCATAAACACAACAGCCCTCTGTCCTGCTGGCCGTTAGATGCTGAGGGAAAAGTAATTCTGGCACTTTCCACTTCAGTGAGATGGAAGCTGAGTGTGTGATCCGCCAGCGGGTTCAGGAAGATTGGGCTTTGTGCTTCCACCCTCAGCGCTTTCCGTTTCTGCAAACCGGAGACATTCCTCGCCCCTCCGCGTGAAACCAGCAGCCTGCGGCTGGAGATGGGAAACTCTGACCAGGACAGGGACCTGCCTGGTGCCAGCTAGGCCCTGCAGTCTCCCCAGGAGATGTTATATCAGAACAAAAGGCTTGGCAGTGCTATTTGCTCTTTTGGTGGCACTAATGAGCTGATAAAAATTATTAGCCCATTTAAAGTAATTGCTGAAACCAGACTTTTGGTCCCCCGCCCCCCCCCACCCCGTGCCTGCAGGGGCTGAGGTTAAAAGTGTCAAGCCGAAGAAGGTGGAGTCTTCGCTGTGTGCAGGCCATAACTCTCACACCCAGCCCCGAGCTGCTCTGATTGCTTTCAGATGGGGGTGAGCCTCCCACACTCCCTGGAAGAGTGGGGAAAGTAAATGTTGTGTTTCTAGTAAAAATAACAACAGGCATTTTACATCCTTTTGCGTCTGACTTTTTTCTTTTTTGTGTGACCAAAAAAAAAAAAACCCCCCGAGCTGCTGTTCAGGAGCCCGCCGCGGTCCAGAGGCAGACGTCTGCGCTGCTGTTTTAGACGACAGAAACCCCACGCGTTTCCATCCCCTCCTTTAGATTCGCTCAGGCGGTTTCTCAGGCTGCGCTTTGAAGAGGGGCAGGGCGCCGCTTTCTCCCTCCTCCTCGCGCGCGTGCGGGGAGCTGTCCTCGCGGGCACCTCAGCGGGAGGTGTCGGGGCCGCGGCGGCGGCGGGGAGTCGGCGTGCTGACCGGCGGGCAGTAACAGGACCCGCGTCAGTCGCGCCAGTGACCTCGGGCGCGCTCGGGAGCAGGGAGGCTGAAAGCCGATGTCCGATGTTCTTTTCAGCTGTAGATCAGTGCCAGCCACCTGTGGCGAAGGGTCAAGGTCAAGGCCCTTTCTCCTCTCTGCGGCCCGCGGCCTGGCCAGTCGCCCCGCGGCCTGCCCGCTCCGTTACTGGCTGGGCAGCCGGAGCCCTGGCTGGCGCTGTCCACACTCTGTCTGTGCCCTGACCTCCCTCCCCCTCTTGCCAGAAGCCCCTCCGCTCCCGGACAGGGGGCAAACTGTGCCCGGCTAGCGGGCCTGCCGCTGGCCGCAGTGCTGTGGCACCAGAGCGCCAGACTCCTTGTGTGGTCACTCCGCCTGACCTCCCGGGTCGGGGGGCGCCGAGCCCCTCTGCTGGGCGCTCTGGTCTTGGTGAAGGGTCAGGCTCATGGCGCGCTTGTGAGAAGTTCATGGCTGCTCTGAAAAAGACTCACGTTTTTTACTGCTTGTGTCTTTAATGAGATCATTTACGGCCAGAGCCACACTGGCGTGAACTCTAAATTAGTGCTGCAAATTAGAATATCAATCATTTACACACAGTTCACTGGCAGCCGAATTGCTATTTACAAGCTGGAACAATAACACTGAAACACACTGAAAATATCAAGTAAACCACGCAAGCTAGCTTTATTTCTACGCCTTAAAAGTATGCCAGAAATACAACTCTCTCTGGAACATGATTGTCATTTCTTTATGTGCGCACATTTCCATCGTTGTGGAAGGAGAATGCAAGTCGTGACTTTGGCCATTCTGTGGAAAATATGTCCATCCTCTGTGTCAAAGTCAAACTGTCTTAGACACTCTGCAAAGACTAGTTTTGAATAAAAATATTTCTATCCCAGACAAATTTCTTGTTATTTATGGCATCAGGGTTGAGGTTATTCAGACCACTACTAAAAGTGAGAACAGTTTAGTTAAAACACATCAGCTGTTTAGTTAAAACACACGTTAACCGTATGTCTAAAATCGGGATACATTTTTTCAGCTCTGTTTCTTTTCGTAAGATTCACGTATGGTCTTAAAGTACACATTGTAGTCCCCCTGAAATAAATCATGGTTGGTTACCTTTTACATATTTAAAACATGGCCAGTTACCTTTTACAGCTTGTAAAATTGTTTATGGTGATGGATTCATTCAAACCATATGAAACAGTACAAGCTCTGAGAACCATGCAGTAATATAATCTCCCTGGAGCGAGTTCTAAGTTATTTCTTTCTTTGTTCTGTACAATGGATTAATATTTATTGCAGTTCTGAAAGACTCTGTCTGTTTTATCTCTGTGCTAAGATCCTTTGCAGCCATTGTTCCCTGCTTTGTGGTTTCTGCTCAGGCTGAGGCTCTGAATGGAAGACTAGCCCCCGAGGAAGCCCTGCAGTAGAATAGTCATTAATTTCACGTCAGAGTTTATAAAGACAGAGATAAGTGCCAGCAGTTTGAGAGTCACTGACCAACTGAATCGAGCCCAGCTCTCCACTTGCTAACTCATATCTACAATACGCTTGCAGTTTGAATGTAAGCAGTACTGCAACATTCTCTTAGACAATCTCATTACTCTTCTGAAATGCAAGCAGTACTTTCATCAAAGAAAGCAAGAGGCCCTTCTGTTACAGAGCACGAGATTTTATAGAAGCCAGCAAAACAAATCCACTTGCTGTTGCACAGCAGTTGGATCCCTTCCTGGTCTTACAAAATACAGGCTGGTGAAACACATTTGTGTTTTCTTTGGTGGTTTAGGAAGTCTTTTCCATGCAGTTTGCACAAAATGGAGAAGCTTGAAGCATTCAGCACCAAAATGCTGTTTAAGTTAAGAGCACCTCGACTTAAACCCTGAAACGGATCAGACCGCTGTGCAATGAGAGCCTTGTTTGGTTCGTCTTGTGCTCAGCTGCAGTTGGGAGTGAAGTATATTGCCTGTATGACTCCAAACAAGTAGAATCCATTCATCTGAGCTGCAGCGCAGGGATGTGCAGTAGATTGAAATGACCCTCTTCTGTGTGCGGAGTATGGGAGCCGTGGAGCTGCAGGAATGTGTGACCCTTAAATTCACTCGATACTAATGGAATTTCACAATGCTGTTCTCGAATGAAGGCTGTGGCCTCGCATATGGTTTCTTTCAGGGGGCAAAGTTTCAGCCCATGAAAATTTGCATGACAGTGCACTAAATCAGCAGGCTGGACCTTTGCTTTGATTCGTCCACTCCGCCTGAAACAAAAACGTTTCAAGCGCTAGACCCCCTGCGCACGTACTTCGACTTCGTTAGGCCCTTTAATCAGCCCCCCCCCCCCACCTCCGATAATTTATGTGTTTCGAAAACAATTTTATGGACATGAGTTAACTTCCAACATATTGAAAAGCCCAAGTGTGGTACTGATTAAAGCAAAATAAACTTCCTTACACTTCCCAACTGAAGTAGAAACAATTTTGCTTCTGTTGCGCTAATGCGCTGCAGGTGTGTGTAGCTGGCCTGGTAAGGGCTGATTTGCTGGCTCTGAAGCAGAGGGAAGAGAGTTGCTTTGCATCCCTCTCGGGCCTCAAAGTGAAGGTCTCTCTCTCTCTCTCCTTTTTTCCTGTTTTGTTAGCAGCCAACC